GGTATTCTGGGTGGTTGTTAAGACTAGGATGTTGCTATGCAGTTGTTAGGGTGTTCTGGATGGTTGTTAGCAAGTAACTTTGCAGCTTCATAGGTATTCTGGGTGGTTGTTAAGACTAGGATGGTGCTATGCAGTTGTTAGGGTGTTCTGGATGGTTGTTAGGGTGTAACTTTGCAGCTTCATGGGTATTCTGGGTGGTTGTTAAGACTAGGATGTTGCTATGCAGTTGTTAGGGTGTTCTGGATGGTTGTTAGGGTGTAACGTTGCAGCTTCATAGGTATTCTGGGTGGTTGTTAAGACTAGGATGTTGCTATGCAGGTGTTAAGGTGTTCTGAATGGTCATTAGGGTGTAACTGTGCTAGGGTATTCTGGGTGGTTGCTAGGGTGTTGCTATGCAGTTATTATGGTGTTCTGGATGGTTGTTAGCAAGTAACTTTGCAGCTTCATAGGTATTCTGGGTGGTTGTTAGACTGGGATATTGTTATGCAGGTGTTAGGGTGTTCTGGATGGTCATTAGGGTGTGACTTTGCAGCTTCAAGGGTATTCTGGGTGGTAGCTAGGGTGTTGCTATGCAGTTACTAGGGTGTTCTGGATGGTTGTTAGAGCATTGCTATGGTGTTGTAGGGTATTGTACAATATTATGGGTGTGGTCATTAGGGTGTTATTTTACAGTTTCTAAGGTACTCTGGGTGGTTGCTAGGCTGGGAGGTAACTATGCGGCTACTAAGATGTTCTGAGTGGTTGTTAGGGCATTGCTAGAGTGTTGTAAGGTATTGTACATTTTTTTGATGGTTTGTAGGGTGTTGCTATGCAGTTGCTAGGCTGTTCTGTGTGGTCATTATGATGTTATTTTCTTAATTTAAGTCAATAAGAGATTTTCTTTGTACTTTTAATAAATGTAATCATAATTCAGTATGAAAATAAATGCTAGGGAAAAAAAGCCTGATGGTGATTCAGCATGCAAATATCTTTGTACTTTAAGAAATATAATCATAAGAATTCAGTATGAAAATACATGCAAGAAAGACATCGCATAGTAATTCAGATATTATGAAAATATTACAGTGATGGCACTGATGCTTTACTAAATATTGAATATTGTATCAGTCTCAGTTAATAGAAGATTTTCTCCATTTGTACTTTAAAAATGTAAGTTTTAAAAGAGTTTATATAGAGCACAGGCAGACCGCACATACAGCATAAAGCTGAAATGATCTACAAAATGCAGTTTGAGTGAAATCTGGATGTTAATCGATTCAAACTGAAATATTTGCAGAATATTGTGCTGAATAATGAAGCGTTTGAGGAAAATGACTGAAGTGCTGCCTTGCAAACACTGAGAAGTCATTTGTGTGGCGTTTTTCTTACTTTCCCAGCGCGAAGCACTCCAGCGTGACGTTCTGCCCCAGCAGCGTGTACGTGTCTGCAGATTTGACTTTGATATCAGCGGGATATTTCCTCAGAGAACCTGACAGAGAGCACATATGAGATGGCAGTTAATGACTGAAGACCTCATGAATTCGTTCTTTCTTCCAGCAGAACGAGCGAGTCTCTCCTGTTTGTTTATCAGCTCTGAAGCACTTCGACTCAACACACTCATGATGCTGTGACAGTCACAAACAACTATAATATTACACACACACACACGTATGAATCACGAGCATGCAATGTTGGGACTGAACCGAGGATGTAGTTTTACACTACTGATTTGCTTTAGATATTAAATGTTCATGTGGAATTAAAGCAAGGCAGCGCAGGTGAAAAGGGTAAAAACTAACTAACAAATAACACCATACCTCACCAGCTGATCACAGTACATTGAGTATTCAAATATTGTTTTCTATTTCAAGTTTTCTGAAATGTTATGTTTAAATATGAAAATAGGGCAATTCCTAGTTAAATATGCCCTAATGTTACACATTTACAGAAATAAACATATTACTATATATACATATTACTTTTTATCACTTAGTATACCAGAAAATACTGTCAACAGACAGAAAACGAGTCCATTTACACCCTGTTTTTAGGAATACAATGTTGTATAAATCAGTGTGAATGAAATATAAACAAACCCCTCAGTAAAAACCTTCATAATATAGAGAGTAATAAAACTCTAAGTCTTGGTGTATGTCAGTGCTGCTGAAGTGGAGAAACAAACTCTTTACCTTTAAATATATGCAGTTTCGCCATGTTTTCAACAAATAAAATGTTATATAAATCAGTGTGAATAAAATATGAACAAACCCCTCAGTAAAAACCTTCAGAATATAGAGAGGAATAAAACTCTAAGCTTTGGTGTATGTCAGTGCAGCTGAAGTGGAGAAACAAACTGACAAACTTGACAAAATATGCACTTTCACCATGTTTTTAGGCATAAAATGTTGTATAAATCAGTGTGAATAAAATATGAACAAACCCCTCAGTAAAAACCTTCAGAATATAGAGAGGAATAAAACTCTAAGTCTTGGTGTATGTAAGTGCTGCTGAAGTGGAGAAACAAACTGACAAACTTGACAAAATATGCACTTTCACCATGTTTTTAGGCATAAAATGTTGTATAAATCAGTGTGAATGAAATACAAACAAACCCCTCAGTAAAAACCTTCAGAATATAGAGGGGAATAAGACTCTAAGTTTTGGTGTGTGTAAGTGCTGCTGAAGTGGTGAAAAATATACTGTTATAGATATACTGTTACTGATATACTGAGATATACTGTTACTTTCAGACCTCAAACTTTCTCTACAGTTGAAAATGAGCATTTATTTGAGACTAAACAGTAGTAATGATTCATTCTGGACAGTTTTCAGTTCTCACACAGAAGAACATTAGCTACTGAGGGATCAGAAACAAACTAGTCTCGTCTAGTTATGGTGAAGAGATCATGATGAAGTAGGACTATATAATGGGATACTATTATTCCTGAACTAACATGTGTGAAATCTTGTTTTTGTGTGTGTGGAGCAGATTTCTTTGAGGAGATTATTTGATCTTGAACAGACCTAAAATAAGCACCAGCTCAATCAGAAGTACTTCAGAAACCACAGACAGTTTGTTTTCTCTTTCAGATCTTTGCTGTTCCTTCCTCACTCTGTCAGTTTTACACTCAGTAACACTATCAAGTGGTTTCTACAATGGAAGTTATAACTCTTATCATCTGGCAGCACCTCTGCATAAGCGTCTCTTACATTTTATTCAGAAACTGAAAAACAGTATTAGTAAAAATAGTAAAAACAGTAGTATTTACACTGGTGTCAAAAGCAAATGTGTTTAAAACATCTATGCCTATAACCTTGATTTAAACTGCAAAAAATTATTTTCTCCCTCAGTATTTTAGTAAGTAGTTTAAAGATTCATACATCAAGATACATTTACTTGCGACGCAAAAGAAGTAAGTTTATAATTAAATCAAGAACATACCTGCCAGTGGGCTCAGAAATATAAACCTAATTCAAATGTAAAATAGTTTTATGATGATAAACAGACTCACGCTCGGCGATGGGCACCAGCGGGATGAACTTGCTGAAGACGCTCTTGGCGATGGACGGACTGGAGACGAAGCAGGAGTAGTTCCCGCTGTCTGACGCTCGTACGGTGGAGATGTAGAGGTTCCCGGTGGTCTGAGACACGAAGCGCCGCTTGTCCAGAAGAATGAATTCCGGAAACTCATTGAGCATCCAGCGGAAGGACAGATCCTCTGCAGAGAGCACAGACAGGAAATTATGCAAATGTGTCAGTCAAATGCAGAAATGACTGTCAATCCATAGAGTCAGGTGCCATGGTAACCTGGGAAGTGTGGAGGCGGAGCACACAGAAGCACCGCCCCCTGCCCCTCCTTCACATAGACCGCCTGCCGCTCGTCTGAGGAAAACATGTCCAAGTCTAAAACACAAGATGGAGATTTTATTTCAGTTTTAGTTTTGCGTAGTAACCCTTATTCATGGCAACCTCGGGAGTAATATAACGTAACATAATTATGATAACAATAATACTGAATGAATTGTGTATAATAATTTAACAATATTTTCTTTAATAAATAACTACATATAAAAATAGCAATAATAAAAATAAGTTAAATTTTTACAAGTTACATATTTGGTAACAAATGTAATATTTCTCCTTGAGAAACTTTAAAAAAATGTCTATTAATGCAATTTCTGAATAAAAATGTTGCCTAATATAATTGAAAACAGGACAACACCACATATAGAATTTAATTAACTCACACATCAATTTCACACATAATAGCAGTAAAACTGCACAGAGGACACTTTAGAGTCATAATTCAGCAGAAACCGCACAAACGCTTCAGACGTCTGACAGCAGAAATTAATATCCTTCAAGCTCTGAACAATAACAGCTCTCTGTGTGTGTGTGTGTGTGTGTGTGTGTGTTCAAGGCCATTCAGGGCAGCTTTAATAGAGCTCTTCTATAAGAGCGACTCACATCCGAACTGAACAGAGGCCTTCTGACTGACAAGCGTCCCGTACTCATTGCTGGCCAGACACGAGTAGTTCCCAGCATGCTTGCTCTTGTCGGGGAAGCTGATGACGAGGTTTCCTCCCATCAGGCTGTAGTGATCGTCATTTCCAATAACGATTTCTGTGTTGTCCAGCCTCCACCTGAGAACACACACACCATCAGGAATGCGAGATGCGAGACACAACATTTCGTT